AATTAGTTATTATGGACCCAACTGGAAAATCCAGTGGCCTGACTTGCACTATGGAAAAACCATTAGAAATTTGAGAAAATCGTGTTCATAGATTGCTCTATTAAAATTAAGATTAAGAATAATGATAATAGGAAACATTGGTGGTGCATTTGATTCTATGATAATGCTAATGAAAAAAATGAGGAAACGACAACGGGACATGCTTACCAAGAGAAAAAGTCAGTGAAAAAACAGTTGTGTTAGTATAGGGGACTTCAATGATCTGATCTCAAATGGAGAATAATGGAAGGAAAAAGTTGGAGGCAATCAGAACTTTAGGGACTAAGATTTTATAAAAAGAAATGAACAACAAGAAGCAGGTTTCAATTCAATCAGAGATGACTACAGTTCTTAGAAATAAAAAGATGATAAAAATTGCATGGAATAAGGAATAGCAAGGACCCACAGTCTTCAAGTTAACAAAGAAAATGAAGAAATGCAAATTGACACTAAGGGGTTAGAATAGGAAGCTAAGAGGCAATGCTAAGTAGGACATCTGAAGGCTCAAACAAGAAATAAAAATGGTATAAGAGTTGGATAGCAATGACAGAGCAAAAAGAATAGCAGGATTCAAAGTCGAATTGAAAAAAGCCTATGACAAAGAGGAAAAGTTCTGGAGCGAAAAGCTCGAATTAATTGGCTTAGAGAAGAAGATGGAAACTGTGCATTTTTCCATGCTTGTGCTTCTATTTGCAAGAAAAGAAAAAGAATATCTACACTGTAGAGTCAAAATGGGGGTTCATGTGAGACTAAAGACCATATAGGATAAAAAGTTGCTAACTACTACAATACTCTCTTTGTTACAAGCAACCCATCAAATTATGGAAAAATTCTAAGTGGAGTTCCTAGAGCTATAACATAGGCCATGAATAAGAACCTAACTTGATCTGTATTACAAGCAGAAATAAAAAAGGCTCTATTCTCAATGCACCCCAACAAGGCCCCAGGGCTAGATGGAATGTCTTCTATATTATTTCAAAATTTTTGGCCTATTGTTAGTAAAGATATTGGGCATGCTATTAGTTGCTTTTATCATTCTAGTTTCATTTGTAAAGCTCTAAGTGAGACCCTTGTGGCCCTGATTTCAAAAGGTGGTTCCCTAATTAAGCTTAAACACTATAGACCCTTTGGCTTACGTAATGCTGTCTGCAAAATCATACCCAAGGTCTTAATCAATAGGCTCAAACCAGTACTCAGCAATTGTATTAGCCCTTCCCAAGCAACTTTTGTCCTAGGTAGACTAATCCTTGACAACATCATTCTAGCTCATAAAAGTATTCATTACCTTGACCATAAAAGAAGATGGGTTGATGGTTTTATGACTTTTAAAATTAACATGTCTAAAGCATATGATATGATAGAATAGCTCTTTCTTACTCCAGTGATGTGCAAAATGGGCTTCTGTCATCTCTGAATCAAGTGGGTTGTGAATTGTTTGACTTCTGTCTTTTACTCTTTGAATATTAATAGGGTGAAATGTTTTGCATTCAAGAGCTATTAGACAAGGGGATCCCCTATCCCCTTATCTTTTCCTTGTCTACATTAAAGGTCTCACTAGTCTTCTCAAAAAAGCAATTGAAAAGAAAAATCTCTTGTGTTTGAAAACTTCAAGGAATTGTCCAAGCTTAACTCATTTACTATTTGTTGATGAATCATTACTGTTTTGCAAAGCTAAAGTAGGTGAAGCTGAGGAGGTTGATAGAATTTTGTAGTATTATAAAAATGCCTTCGGACAACAAATCAACTTGGAGAAATACATTGCTTTTTTCAACAAAAATGTGGATAGCAGCACAGGAGAAGAAATGATGTAGGAACTAATTAAGAGGCATTCAAGTCGTAACACCAATGAAAGTATTTAGGACTATTGCTGGTAATAGGGAGATAAAAAATTCAGGTCCTAATTTCATCATAGACAAAGTCATGGGCAAGATTCAAGGATGGAAAAAGAAGATCCTCAGCTAAGCAGGGCAAGAGATTATAATAATTTGAGTCGCAATAGCAATGCTTACATATGCCATATCTATTTTAAAACAAGTGAAAGGATTATGCAAAGAGCTCTGTTCAGCAATGGCAAAATTTTGGTGGGAAATTGAAAAAGAGGAGAAAAAGATATACTAGATGTGTTGGGAAAATATGATAAAGGTCAAGGGGAAAGGAGAACTAGGATTTAGGGACCTACAATACTTCATCTTGACATTATTGTCTAAGCAAATCTAGCGAATCGTAACCAAACCAAATTTTTTAGTTAGTAAAGTCCTAAAAGGTAGATATTTTTCTAACACCATCATCTTTAAAGCCCAGTCACCAGGTATAGCTTGTCAGATTTGACAGAGTCTTCTAGCTACAATTCCACAAATAGAAAGAAGAACAAGAAAGAATGTAGGAAATGGAGCTAACATAGACATTTGGGAGGACAGATGGCTTCTAGAGTCTAAGAGTGGTAAAGTTTCTACACTTAAACCAATGGAATGTGAAACCATCTGGGTTCAGCAACTAATGAGAAAGAACCAGTGGAATATAGGACTTCTCAATACTCTCTTTAGTGCTGAGGATTGCAAAAGGATTCAAAGCATCCCACTCAATATATTTGGAGGAAAAGATAGGTTGAGATGGAACTATACCAAATCAAGTTTATACATTGTAAAATCAGGTTACGATTTCAAGAAAACATGTAGCAGGAAAGACAAAGAAGCTAGACAAGATGGGGGCAACTCTAGCAGAGGAAGCAAAAAAGCACAAGTATGGAAAAGGTTGTGGAGACTTAATATGAAGCACAAAATAAAGCACTTTTACCTAGAAATGTCTTCATCACATCCTCCCTATCAATGAAAATATCCATAAAAAAATAGGTAAAGGAAGCCCAATGCATAGGAAATGTGGTGATGAAATTGAAACTTTGGAACATATGTTATTTTTTTGCAAATCAATTCAGGACATTTGGAAGGCTTTCCCGCTTCAATGAGATGGCCTTCACGATCATAAATGAAATTTTTGGCATTGGTGGACAAAATTACAAGAGCTTAAAACTAGGAAGAATGGAAAAGACCACATAGCTCTGCTAGCAAACTTGTTTTGGCAAATTTGGAAATGCATAAATGAAGCAAATTTCATCTCCAAACAATAATCAGGAATGTGGGCATCCAAAGTTGCTTTGGATGAATGGAATGAATTCATGCTAGCAAACCAAGTGGTGATCTCGCCTGAGGAAACTGAAGCTAATATGAGAATTTCAGCAACCCAAGAACCAAGAACTACCCAACATGCATGGAAACTATTCACGGATGGAACTTGTGATAAAAGAGAGAGTTGGCTTGGGAATTGGAATATGGGATAATATGGACAATTTGAAAGCAACCTAGACCATTCCTATTCACCATTGCAGAGAACCAACAATTGTAGAGGCAGGGACGGAGCCAGAAATTTATTTTTGGGGGGGCTGAAGTGTATTAAAAATTTTTTTTTGTGACGAAATAAATATATTTAATAAGTAAAATTTAGAATCAATAATTATAAAAATAATAAAAACATATAATTATACATACCCAAAGATTTGTTATTGATTAACACTTGAAGTATTGGTAGTTGTTGCACTCGAATAACGAAGAGGAGGCAATTGCATTCTGCGAGTCTTCATCCGTTGAAAACGCTGCAATATTTGCTCATTTTCAATTGTTGCAAAAATATCCTTCTCGATGGGATTGCAGGAAAAAAAAAAAAAAAAGCACAGTCGGAAGATGGACCTCTGCTCTTACCTACCACCGTAATATAATGGATTAGGATTCCCAGCAGCAGTTACTTTGGGGCAGCTTCAGAGCTTTGCCAAGTTTATTTGCTACAAATTTTTTAAAAACTTTAATTATAGTAATCTCAAAAATTTCTCAAAATTTTTAAACTACACACTTCAAAATATTCAAAAATTTACGCACTTCAAAATTTTTTAAAAAAACTTCTATAGTAAGATACAGTAAAGTTTTAGACAAAAATCCAAAAAACTCACTTGCCAAACCGGGGCAACATTCGTAGCAGCACTTTTGTGAAGAGAATAAATGTTTGTTTAATTCCAACGGCACCACTCGTGACTTCTTGAGGCAGCAACAATTGACAGTTTGACACCAGCTGAGCTGGGCTGAAGAATTGCACGCTTCGATGGGCCTTCTGTCCATTTTCCCAACGTCAGTCAAATCCATGGGCCATGGACAACAGCAACAATTGACTTTTCTATTTGAACTTTGGTCTACTCTTCCTTCTAACCCAAAAAAAAAAAAAAAAAAAATTTTTTTTGGCCTACTCTAAACCAAAATGTTTACTCTTGACTACAAGCAGTCACGAGGGTAAGAAATTAATTGACAAAGGAAACAACGGACTCAGAAAAATTGTTTTGACAAATGCAATCTTATCCTTACCGTCCAAATCTTGGGGGGGGGGCTTAAGCCCCCACCAGCCCCCCTTTAAATCCGTGGCTGTGTAGAGGCCATGGCAATGGCAATCAAAATTGCTCTCACTTTTGCTTTAGGTAAGAGTTTAGCTTCTATTTGTATATTCTCATATTATGAAGAAGTAGTAAATGCTATTAATGGGGAGGTAGAGGATGAATCTATACTTTCTACTATCATTCAAAATATTAGAAAGTTGAAAATTCCTTTTGGTTCTACCATTTTACTTTTGTCCTTAAGGAGTTTTAATGTTATTAATCATTATTTGACAAAATTTGCCACCAAAATGATTAGAAATGTGAAGTGGGAATGTGATTTTGGCCGGTGTCTTGTGAATGTGACATAAGTCATTTATAGGATAGTTGTCCCAAATTGTAAATGTTTTAAAAACACTAATTATATTGAGATGCAGGGAAAAAGAACGGAATGGGTGGTACGAAAGAATGAGCGTAAGCAGGGAGTGTCCTACTGTTTACTTACACTAAAAAATTATAAATGACATTTTGGAAAAGAAAAAAAAAAGCGCTCACCGGCCAAGAAAAAAAGAAAGAAACTCTTAACGGCCAAAACCCAGCTTCAGTGAGTCCTCTTATTAGTAGCACAGAGACGAGACTAGACTCTAGGGCAGGTGATGCCATCCTCAAACCCTCGAGCTCGCCACTTTCCACCACCAATGTCGTCGACGTCCTTATCCCCCGAAGGAGAAGAAGTAGCAGAAGAAGAACAAGTAGTGACTCCATGGGAGGTATCCGCCAAGCAAGGCGGCAAAATTGACTACGGCAAACTGATTGATCAATTTGGCTGTCAAAGACTCGACCAGTCCTTAATCGACCGCGTCCAACGCCTCACTAATCGGCCTCCTCACGTTTTTCTCCGCCGCGGCGTCTTCTTCGCGCACCGGGATTTTACTGATATTCTCGACGCCTACGAAAGAGGAGACAAGTTTTATTTGTATACCGGCCGTGGACCTTCTTCCGAAGCCCTGCATCTCGGCCATCTTGTTCCGTTTATGTTCACCAAGTATGTTTCTTTTTTGTTTTTTTTGGGGGGGAGGGGGGGGGGTTTCCTACTGCCAGTTTTTTTCTGGAAATATTTTGAGAAATTTGTTCTTTTTGTTGCTTTTATTGAATTGAATGTCTTGTTCCGGATGACATTGTGTTGAAATTGAGTAAACCTCGTTGATTCTTTGTGGAATTAGGTTCTGAGTCTCAGCTAGTTTTTTCGAATGATGTGCATATGATTTTATTATATTTGGAAAATTTGTATCTTTTTTGGGCTGTATTTTACTTTTGTATCTTCGTAGGTAGTCTCAAGTCCTTTGATATCATAAAAATTGCGGAAAATTGTTCTACTTTGAAATGCAAGAACATCACATTTTGCATTGATAGAGAATATATTAGAAAATTTGACTTCAAAACGATCATTTTCCCCAAAAATGAGGTAGTTCTTCCACCCTTTTAGGGTAAAACTAAGTTGAGATTGTCTTATTCCAGATACTTGCATTAGGAGTTGCATATTCTCCTGTTAGGTTTCTCTGCTTATGCAACTTTTGCCTTTTGTACAAATTCTTTCTTGAATTGATATAAATTTCAGATGTATGATTTGGAGTCGAATTTGAACAGTGAACAGTCAAATGAAATGTTAGTTTAAAAGAGTTAGAATTGACTTAGTTTGGAATGTGTTATTCTGTTGGTTTTTCTGTTTCAACTGGTGGAGCTTCAGGGTAGAAAGTCAGGAATCTAGTTGGTTGCAGGTACTTGCAGGATGCTTTTAAGGTTCCACTTGTAATACAGTTGACTGATGATGAGAAGTGCATGTGGAAGAATCTGTCAGTAGAGGAGAGTCAGAGACTTGCACGAGAGAATGCTAAGGATCTGATTGCATGTGGATTCGACATTTCGAGGACCTTTATTTTCTGTGATTTTGACTATGTTGGTGGGTATGTTATTTGTTCATTAACTTGTGAGTTTGTTTTTTATTTTTATCTCTACTTCATTTTAAGATTTAGAGTTGACATCGTGGTAATTTAATTTTTCACAATTTTGTATGTTATATGTCTACGTAATTGTTATTGAAAGCTTAAAATGCTTGTTATATCACACTGCTTCTGGATATATGCCTTGCTTCATGTATGCTTGTTGATTTGGAATATGTCTTTCTGTGGTATGGATGTATCTTTAACTTTTATCGACTTATTGCAAAAATCATTTTTTTTATCTTTATAAATTTTCCCCTTAAAAGAGGTTTAGCTTTTTCCACAATGTCTCAATTGAGTTATACGGTGCTAGCTCTAGGTATGGGATCTTATTGAAGTGCTTTATTTCATTTGATATGCAATACCAAGCTGATGTTTAACTTCCTGAAGTTCCATGTTTATCAAGTAAGAATGCTATTGCCCAAAAAAAAACACTTTATTACATGGATATTCATTGCTGATTTGCTAGCACTAAAAATTGATTAGTTTATTTGGGAGATGTCTGTGATGAGAAGCTTGTGCCCTATGAGGGAATGATTATCATGAAGATGAATGAAACTGAGATGTTCTTGAACTTGTCAGGGCTTAAACAGCTGGAATGAAGAAAAAAGGCAGTGAAAGAAAGAACATCTAGAGAAATTGTACGATATGCCTATAAAAAATTCGGCCACTAACCTGGAGAAAATTCTGATTACCACAACTAGTAACTAGAGATGTTTACTCTTAGTTTTAGGTTGAGTGGAATTGGATTTAAGCAAGGTTAGGTTTCCTAACTGGGCCGATGCGAGAGTACTTCTCCTTGGTGTATAACAATTCTTCTTTCAGATGGATGAAGAAACAAGTTGTCTATCCTGTTCTTGGGGCTCCAATAGCAAAGTTGGTCATGCTTATTGTTTAGCCTCATGATGTAGACATATTATTGTTTGTTCTTGCATCTCAAGATTTTGCTATTGAAAGGTAATTGCATACGAGTTCAAGTATACAGTTGAGTATTAACTGTGGTAGCAGTGGATGTTGGGAGATACACAATGTGGGTTCATGTAATGCATTGAAAATCAGTTTAATACTGTTTCATGCATGCTTGTGTAGTAAAAATCGGTTTAATGCTTGTGTAGTAAAAATGCATGCTTTAAAGCTAAAGTTTACTTTATCCATTAGTTCCTTTTAACAACATTAATCAGTCATAGTGACTATCAAAACATGATTTATACGTTTTCATTAAACATTCTGTATGTACATTACTTCTGTCTTGCCCTTGCCTTATAATTTCAGTTTTCAATGTTTAGTGCTTGAAATACTAGCCAAAGTTTAGAATATCCAATGTTTAGTGCTTGAATACTAGCCAAAGTTTAGAATATCTCCTTGTCTTCTATAGACAAGTGTTGGATGTTCAGATGCAGACAATCTTGTAGGCTAATCGATGCTGACAGTCTTTCACATTGGCTTCCTGATAGTCATGAATTTCAACCATAGCAAATTGATTTGCTATGGTTATCTGTGTAACAATATTTGGGTTTGTGTCGTCCATGCAGCCAAAAAAGGGCTGAGGGTGTGGCTCATACATCTGACTAGACTAACATAAACTTTGATTATCTGCTATTTTATCTACGAGGTTGTTATAGTCTTCATACCCTAATTCTTTTCTGAAGCATCTTTAAATGGAACCTTTACATGAAAAGTAGTTCCTCATCGTTATTGACCACTGGTGCTTGTGAGGTACAATATAGAAATGGTGATTGCAATTAGGAGATAGTTTTATTGAGATTAAAAAGGAATGTAGGGATCCTACCAATTTTTTTTGGGCTTGGAACTTGAATATGAAGCAAGCAATAGTCTCCTAGTGACAGATTATCTGAATAATGATGGTACTCTTTGTTACACTTCTTTCAAGATGGATTTTCAAGTAAATTATAAATAAGTGAAGATATGTATAGGCATAGATATATCTACTATTATTGAATCCTGATTTGTTCTGAAAAACAGGTTTGGTCCGAATAGATTTTGTTCTGAAAAACTGATTTTGTTCTGAAAAAAAGATTTTGTTCTGAAAAACAGGTTTCGTATAGAAATGTAGAATTCAATATGCATTTTCCCGATTGTAAGGTGAATGGATTCCAATTTGATTGTCGATTAAGAGACAGATCATGGTGTTCATTGCTGGAGATATTGGTTTCTTACCAAACCAAATAAAAGAAAGGGACATCCTTGCTTTTTAATGTTGCATTTCTTATTTACTGCTACAGTATTCTTACTTGAGGATTTTCTGTTTAGTGCCTTCTACAAGAACATGGTGAGGGTTGCAAAATGCGTCACTTACAATAAGGTGATCCGTCTGAAAAGGCATTACACATCATGCTGGGTTGCTATCTGCTAATGAATTCTATTGTTAATGGGGTTCCTGAGTAGAATTAATTGTTCCTTTCTTTCAGGTTGTTGGCATTTTTGGTTTCACTGGGGAAGATCACATTGGAAAAGTTAGTTTTCCTCCTGTTCAGGTAGGAGAATGTACTTGATTTTACATGGTAACCTCTGCTGTATCTGTAATGTTGTTCAAGAAATGGTTAGTTAATGTTTGCTTTTTGTTTCACAATTTTGAATGTTCAAGTAAATATTCCATTCTGATTGGAGGCGATTACCTTTTATTTTTTCCCCTTTTCCAATTTTTTGCACTTTATATTCTAAAATCTGTGTACGCTGCCTGAAGGAATGATTCACACAAACAGTTCAAGAGGAGTGTTGGATTTTTTTTTGGCGGTCTAGTAAATAGTATTGGGTGTGTTTGGATAGAGAGGTTTTGAAAAAAAATAATTTGCCTCACAAATCCCAATCTTATCTAACATACATCACATCACAAAAAGTGCTACAGTAATTATCTCAAATAAATCATCCAAATAAACTCTTATCCAAACAAACTCATTGTCATTTTTATGCAGTGCATTTTTATGCCGTGCTTTTGGGACACTTGCATGGTCATGTGTTTGAGGCTGACTGTTAGAAGTAGTTTTTTCTGGTACTTTTGCATAAAGCATTTGCTGTGCCTATTAATGTCTGAGTTGTTTTTAGTGATATAGGACAAGATAGGGGAGATCTAGACGCAAATTTTCAAACTGAAAATCCTTTTCTACTTCAGTATTATTCATCTACTATTGTTGAAGTGGATTGCATTTAAATGCTTATGTTTATCCATGTTAAAAGCTACCTTTGTTAGTTATAAATGTGAAAAAGCTTTGCTGTAGTCTAGTAGATCTAAATCTAAAATAAAGGTGAGAACTTTGCTGTACATTGTGTATGCTTCCTTTCTCCTCCTAGTTGTGGATGCAATTGATTCTTAGTCATTTAATCGGGGAAGTACTAGATCTATTGCATAACTTAACTAGTCACTTTAAGATTTTAGTTGACCCATTTAGAATTCTTACCAATCTCGTGATGATTTCTCTTATATCTGTTTCTCTTATATCTATGTTTTGGTGAGTTTGTAGTGTGCCTTTGTGCACAATCATAAATATTTCACCTTTTAAACGGTAGAGAACTCAATAATAAGATGCAAACATGTCTAGGAATTATCTTTAAGTTGACTTTTGTTGAGTTTATCAAATCAGAGAGACCTCCCTCTTGTTTCTTCTGTAATTATGTTGACTTGCTCTTAGATTCCATGGCTCTGTGTTATATATAGGGGTTGACTGCTGCTGAAATTTTCTTTGATACAGATGAAAGTTGTTTACATCATTGAAAAGATTTTGGAACATACTAAATTTACCTGGCAACACTAGGTTTTTAATTGACCTTTTAAATTCTAAGTTCTATATGCATTTTTTGAAATACAAACTATGTTGCAGAAACTAGAAAGGTGAGCTTTTTTGCCCTTTTTTTTAATTTTTAAGCTTTTGGGTAATTTTCTGGAAAGGGGAAATGGATGGGAAGGAAGAAGGAAGATAGTGAAAACAAATCCATTGTTTTAAGATGAATAACAAAGACCCTTAACCATTGGGGGATGTCCAATTCTCATCTAGAAGGAAAGGTTCCTATGAAAAACAAAAAGGGGGAGGAAATGGAAAGTAACTACAGTTAGAAAGATATGTGTACTTCTGTTAAAAGACATATTCTGCAAGTCAGTATCAAAAAATGAAAGCAAATTAAGTCATAAACAATCTCAGTGCACCTTGTAGATATGATACAGTGGTTGAGGATTTTTATCCTTATTATCAGTCATTTGTTATATTGTTTGATTTTTTTTACGCTTTAGAACCTTGGCCTGAAAGCATTCTGCTTCTAGTTGGTGATCTACATTTGAATAATTTACAGGCTGTTCCATCCTTTCCAAGTTCATTTCCACATCTTTTCTCTGGTAGAGAGAATCTTCGCTGCTTGATTCCATGTGCAATTGACCAGGTTTACTCTCATTCCCACATGTTTCTTGATTTTTGAATTTGTAAAACTTCTGGACTCTCATGTTTCTGCGTGGTACTTGTGGTGATTTTGACCTTATTATTATTCAAGGAATTTCGTTGCTCAATTGATTTTATGTCGAATTATCTTCCTTTACAAGATAGACATCAGGTCTGTCTAAAAAATTAACCTTGTTTACAGTGCAAACTCCTGAGGTTTCTTCCCTTACTCACAAGCAATTAGTTTTTAAGAGAGGAATCTTAGACAGTGTTTAGTGACACATCAAAGCGCAATATCCCACCTCAGACGCATCCCTCTTCTCCTTACTTCAGTCTATGGCTCCTCTCTCTCTCTCTCTGGCCCTCCCCTCCTCTTCCAGGGCTCTGTTCGCCCTCCCTGTTCCGTCAGACATCTTTCCCTCCTTTTCTTGGCTACCTAATACGTCTTCCTGCCTTTGCATCTACTGCTTTCTTCCCATTTCTCTGCTTCCCCAGTTTTTCCTCACATCTCTACTTTCTCCAGTTTCCTCCAATTAATTGCTTAGTCCCTGAAGTGGATATATTGCCCTTTTTGTGTAGGAACCAAGTTGCTAGTAAATGTTGGAGGAACAAACTCCTGAGGTTTCTTCCCTTACTCACAGGCAATTAGTTTTTAAGAGAGGAATCTTACAAAGTGTTTACTGACACATCAAAGTGCAATATCCCACCTCAGAAGCATCCGTCTTCTCCTTACTTCACTCTATGGCTCCTCTCTCTCTCTCTCTGGCCCTCCCCTCCTCTTCCAGGGCTCTGTTCGCGCTCCCCTGTTCTGTCAGACATCTTTCTCTCCTTGTCTTGGCTACCTAATACGTCTTCCTGCCTTTGCATCTACTGCTGTCTTCCCATTTCTCTGCTTCCCCAGTTTTTCCTTACATCTCTACTTTCTCCAGTTTCCTCCAATTAATTGCTTAGTCCCTGAAATGGATGTTTTACCGTTTTTGTGTAGGAACCAAGTTGCTAGTAAATCTTGGAGGAACAAACTCACAATTTTGCTAAGATTTTGGGAGTGTTCTTGCTTACATCATGGTGTTTTTATGGACTTTGTTGCTTAAAGCAAGTTATAGATGGTGAATATGGCCTGATGGTGACTCTGAAAGATGGGTGATGTGACTTGAGAAGGGGCAGGAAATGGGTTGGCTGGCTTTAGGTAAAGCAGCCAGTGCTCGAGGGTGGTTTTGGGATGATGGGTTGGGTGGTGTGGTGGCCCCCAGATCTGTCAACTGGTGTGGTTGTCAGGTTAAGGTTTTTAATGAATTAATTATTTTTAACAGTCTACATTATGATGTGCTAATTAAGGTGGTGTAACTGGTGTTGGTAATGTACGTGCTGGTAGTGGTCTGCAAGTTTGTTCATTGGTGGTTGGAGAAAACTAGAAGTATAGATAGACTGTTTCCATAAATGTAAATTTATCACATAGGCCAATTTTGACGTGTGATGTATTTTTTCAGTTTGTCTGTCACATTCCATTAAAAAATACATAAGCTTACCTATATAAACTTTTCGATGTCCTGCTTGAATGCTCTGCTTGTTACTCACCTATAAACTGTCTTCTAGAGTTGCCCTAATATACAAAGGGAAAATCGTTCAAAACGTCCCTTACATTTTGTCAAATGAATTTTTTTGTCCTTCACTTTTAAAAGTGTAATTTTACGTCCCTTACAAATTCATATTAGTCAAATTTGGTCCCTACCTAGGTTTCCGACTAATTTTTGGTTGGAATTCATCACGTGTCTTGCATGTGATTATTTTTTAGGGGTAAAATTGCTAAATCAAAATTTACATAATCAATCTATAATCTCTTACATTTCACAAAATAAATTGTTTCGTCCCTCACATTCACAAAATAAAATTTTCATCCCTTACATTTTACAAAATGAATTTTTTCATCTCTCATTGACCATGTACACAAATAGGTTTTTTTTTTTAAATTCATGTATATATCTATTTGATTTCACCTGAACAATATAAATAGTATGTAATATATCTCTATTTTATTTCACTTAAACAGACTAATTGTAGTTGTGCATATGCTATTCAATAGATATATACATGAGTGTAAATCTAATAATTTTTTTAAACCCATATATATTTATATTTGATTTCACCATGTAAATTTATTTAATATATGCAACCTTTTCTATTTTGGTAATAATTCATTTATTAAGTTGTATAATAAGACCATCTAATTAATCAATGTTAATTCGAATTTTATAGTCATGCTAACAAATTGCAATTTAAATCTGAAATTTTTATTTGCCACCTTTAAGACCAATAGTTGAATTTCTTACCTTATGATTATTTTAAAATTTAAAAGTGTCGATCACTTACTTCATTTTGTCATACTTTTCCTTTGTTTATTTTTTCTATCCAAATTTAATTCGATATTAAATCTTGATAATGTTTAGAATTAAATATCTTTTTTGTTTTCAATTTTTGAGTAAAAGGAATGAACACGAGTAAAAAACTAACAATTTTTTTAAACCCCTGTATATATCTATTTTAATTTCACTTGAACAGTAAGTTCAGGTGAAATAAAATAGAGATATATTATATGCTATTCATATTGTTCAAGTGAAATCAAATAGATATATATTAAATATAAAAAAAGTTAGTTATTCGTACACATGATCAATGAGGGATGAAAAAATTTATTTTTTAAAATATGAGGGATGGAAAAAATTTATTTTGTGAAATGTGAGGGACGAAATAATTCATTTTGTGAAATATGAGGGACTATGGATGGGATTATGTAAACTTTGATTTGCCAATTTTGGCCTTCAAAAATGATTACAAGCAAGGCACATGGTGGATTCTGATTAAAACTTAGTCAGAAACCTAGATAGGGACCAAATTTAACCAATGTGAATTTGTAAGGGACGTAAAAGTATGCTTTTAAAAGTGAGGGGCGCAAAAAGTTATTTTATAAAATGTGAGGGATGTTTTGAACGATTTTCCCATATACAAATACAGCCTTTTCATATTCCCCAAGCTCCATATGGAAGAAGCATGCTACTTAACTAAAGATACAGTAGTAAGGTCTCAGACCAGTTGGTTTACTATACAATACTAAAATGATGTGGCGCAAGAAATTAGCCTCAGATTTGTATTGATGTGAGAGACAGATTTAGACTGGTCGAGGGAACTGATTCATCTAATTTCCCTCAGTGTATCTTTAGAGAAGTAAATATCCAAGAATACAACCTTTCTGCAAAGGCAAAAAGAAGCTTTTTGTGTTTCATGGAGGTATGAAAGGAGGTAAATAAGGATATCTCCAGCTGAATGATCTTTACACAACCAAATGTCAACTGAATAAGTGGGCGAAGGATGATATACTTGGTAATTTCCTATTGTACAGGGAGAATGCATATCACATAGCAGTTATGGATATTGTCCTTTGCATATGCTGATAAAACCTGAAGAATGCATGAATTAGAAAAAAGGAAAACCTGAAACACATTTAGTGGCCTTATTTTGGCTGTAGAATAAAGATTATATGAAAGAGCTACCATCTGCCCAGGCTAACACATATATATGCCTTCTAACCATTCACCAAATCCATCATCTGCATTACTTGCAGATTAATCATTATATGAACATTGTATCTCCAAAAAGCACTCAGGTAGTGGTTCTTGCAGCCAAGTGTAGAGGCTGGTTAAACACCTGGTTAAAAGATGAGGAATTTGTATATCTGGGAATACAGGTCTGATAGTCTCTGATGGTGCATTGTTCCACACCTGATCTTGCATCCATTTTGAAGGGAAAAAAAAATTTTGAGTTCTAGGTGAAGGTTTCCTATAGCAGACACTATAGCATATGAAATAGTAGAAGAATTAAACTTGTAGAGCTCTAGAAGGTTTCCTAGAGGCAATATTGCGAGCCTATAAAGATTTACGTGTAATGCACTTTTTTCATTGCTATTCTGAGGAAAATTCTTGGCAAAGGATGTCTTTATGATCTTCAGAAGAAGAATTGTGGCGGGGAATTATCTGCCTAAAGTTGATTTGACATCTTAGCTTTAGCTTGGTGTGCTCCATGAAGTTGCTTGCTGGTTTCTTGTATACTGCTTCAGTGCTTCTGTCACTTCCCCTAGTCTTGAGTTTAGTGTATGTATGCAATCGAGTTATGTGGTCTTACTCTTTCTAACCAAGGTGCTTTTACCAATGTTTGCTGATTGTTGCATGGTTTTGCTATGTTGTTACAGTTTTACTGGGTCTTTGTGTTCCAGTCTCAAATTTTGGGCATCTAAAAGAATTATGGATCTGAAAAAGTTACATTTGGTCTGAAGTGGTCCAAATGAGGAGATAGTTTCGCATGCTAGCTTCTATTTAGATTGACAGTTTTCAGATATTTAGATTGACGTGCCATTCTTTTTCAATTAGTCTCCTTTTTCTGGATTTTCGTAGATCTTAACTTTTTTTTTCTTCAGGATCCTTACTTTCGGATGACACGAGATGTTGCTCCTAGAATAGGATACAGTAAGCCCTCATTGATCGAATCAACATTCTTTCCCGCACTTCAGGTTTTCTCTACTTTTCTTCAAATTCTAATGTACTCATAGTTTTAAGTGTAATTATAGTCTGTTGGACATGGTTGAATTAATATTTCTGCTATAAAATAGGAGTGTTCTATAAATTGAACTCGCCCCATGTCGGCACTTCTGTCTGCAAAGTACTTGAGGATATATTTATGGTTTTACTGCTTTTTTCTGCAATGATACTGTCTTTTTTGCCATAATGGTTTCTAAAATCTCCTTTGTGGATACAATTAGGTTTTTAGTTTAGCATTCAAAAGTTTGATAAAAGCTGATATTATTGCTCATATCATTAGCCTTTTCATCTATTTGTTAATTGTTAATGCTCTGTTCCAAAAGATGGAAGTTTAAATAAGTCATTTTCCCTTGGTTATGAGAACTCAAAAATCCCTTTTGAATGTCCAATACTTACAAGCTGTGAATTGTTTCATATGATCTAGGTTTAATGGTTGCAGATGTTACGTGTAGAATTAGGTGAGTGAGGAATCTCATAGGTTCCTTTAGTGTCTGATAAAATGAACACTACCTTACTGAAAGTACAAAATTTCAACATATAGAGATCTAAGAATCAAAATCTAGATCTTAATAACCAAGCTAATTAATCTACATTCTATAATCAAGCTATCAAGTCCTGGAATCAAGCTATCTAAATCAGTCTAATGCTATACCACTAGTTAGAGATCAAATCACATGTAGCATAAAAAAATAGTATATCAAAAGTTTGATATACTATTAGTTAAAGCTAAAAGAGTATGCCCTGTGCCCATGGCTCTCATAACTCTAGTGTCTGTCATATTATAAAAAAGAGACAGTTTTGTGATGTTGTGCTCAGAATGCAGCAAGTTTTCATTCTTCCAGGGCTGCATTTTCTTTCACAATAAGAGTTTTTACTATCTTGAAAATTAAAGAAACATAAATCTGTTGCACACAATTCACTCTGCTATAGGTGAAATTAGTATTAAAGAAAACTGGCTGAGCATGAGCAAGTAGCCATGAGAAGGATATAACTCTACATTTCTTTGTATACCTCTAGCACAACTACAGATGGGAAGTTCGGTCTTTGCTACAAAACATGAATTCTGGTTAGAATTGAGGATGTATACAGGCATCTGTAGAGAATATATTGGAAATTTCCTAAAGCTTAGCTCTAGGTGTTCCTTTTGTTTCATGAAGCAGCTATTTGAGAGTCTGATGAATTTACTAGTTGAATAATCAGTAATTTAGAATTTAAGCTATGTATACTGTACAAATTTTTATAATCAGAGTGTGAATTGGAAAAAGCTGATCTTACAACTTGAATGTTGTCCATGATTGTTCCCTTCATGATCTACGGCACTTTGTTTCATTTCCTGGATATGAATGCGATATAAACTAGTTTAGAATACCTGAGGAATTGACTGAGGATAGCACTTGGGAGGCAGGACTCAAAAATAAGGAGTGAGAGTTGATGGCCCGTAAACCTTGTAACCATCTATATTTAGATAAAGCTCTTTTACTGTCTCACTTTTCTTTTCTTTCCTTTTTCCTAGTTGCGAGGGGGGAGGGGGCAGGAGGTGAGTGGGAGGACTTCAGAAAATAGACTATATACAGAGAATTATGAATGTGGATCATATGATGAAGCTGGTTAAGCTAGCAAGGACCTGCGGGAAATCTTCTTGTAGTTTTTCTACAAAAGAAACGTTCCAAAGGCTTGATTGAGGATAAGAGCTTACTTTGCGTAAAGTGCATCAGAAAGTCCTACTGTAAATATAGGCTAAACTGATGTTCCTCTATGTATGATGGATCCAACACTTTGATATTTGTAGTTCTGTTCATTGATTGTCTACTCTATATGAAATATAACTTGTTTTACTAATTTAAATGATTGTTTTACTAATTTAAGTGATTCCTTACCTCCTTAAGATATTCACAAAGTATCAAGGTTTGCATAACTTAATAGCAGTTGGCAATATCCTGCCCAATCAACTTGATGGTCTCTAGCTTCTGTATTCTCTTGTTGGACATTGATTATATTTAGCAAGGGTTGTTTTACAGTAATAAACACACAGTTAGACTGTCTATCTCTGAACCAAATAATTGCAGATATGGAACCTTCCATTTTTTTGTGGCACTTATTGCATGTTGTTTCCATGTTGATTTCTATAATTTACATTCAACTTTTGTTATCTTGAAAATTTTACAGGGAGAGACTGGCAAAATGAGCGCTAGTGATTCAAATTCTGCTATATATGTGACAGATACTGCAAAGGACATAAAAAACAAGGTCATCTAGAGTTTTTCTTCATGTGTTTTTCCAGATTCAATATTCACAACAATCAATGCATGTTCCTCTCCTGTAGTTCTTTTTCATTTTATTATTTATTTATTTATTTATTTATTTTTATAGTTTTCCAGGCTCTATAAATGCATCAAAGATAATGAATCAAAAGGTTCAAAGTGGGATATATAAAGTAACTGTACTGATGGAGCTCACGATATGTGAATCCTGATTCTCCCACAGCTTGGTTTTTGTGCTAGTAATTGGTTAAGACCAAAAATTGCCATCTTTTGTCCACAGGAATATTTGGCCTTCCTGTTGTCCAGCAAACAACTTTTGCCTTTTTGTATATAATAAGTTATTTATGGGCCCATCTTGGGGATGTGGAAACTGTCCAGCAAACAACTTTTGCCTTTTTGTAGATAGTCAGTTGTTTATGGGTCCATCTTGGGGATGTGGAAACTATCTTATTGATGTTATCTTTTATTGATCTTATTGATGTTATCTTTACAATTAGATTAACTATTTTCTGTATAAACCATTTCTTGTTAAACATTTTCATGTTTCAGATTATGAAGGAATCTTATCTGCAAAATATAGGCATCTATCTGTTCTTAGTGGTCCAAGAAATTTGGTATAATGGAGCATGGATTTCCTGGAATGGTGGACATCAGGAATAGAATTTTCTCATCTTTTTCATTACATTTCATCATTTAGAGAGCAAAACAACTTTTAGTGATGAAGATTTTCCATGTTCAGAATGTGCATATATCATTTTCCAGTTAGAATCCTTCTAGCTATATGAGTCAATTTAGTGTTCAAGTCTAAGTGACACAACACAGTTTCTGGGTTTTTTTGGGGGAAGGGGCAGCACTCTTGATGGCTGCTTTATTCAGTGCTTTTATGCTTCTCAAATGTGCCCATATGCCTGCTTTTCTACAATGTAGTTATCTGGTTGGTCAATAGAAAAACCACCATATTAAGTACCTATTTTCCAGCATGTAAATAATTTCTTTTTGTAATTAATACATTGTACTTAAATCTGGTTAGTGTATCATTTTAAGTACTCCAAAATGAATTTTATTTCTCTTGATGATTGATGAGATAATAGTAGTCATACTATGAAGTAGTCTGCCAGCAAAAACACATGTGGATTCGAGCAATTTATTTTTTTTTTTCTGTTGAAAAACAAAGTACATATGCTAACATGAAGAAATTTTTATTTATCTGGATATATGACCAAAAGTAAGGCTGCACTGCTTGACACTTCCTGCTGTGTTTCATTTTATCAGATCATGTTGAATGCATTGATTTTTCTTGCTACTCGTCATGCGTTCTTTTTCTTAAACGTTAGAATGCTATTTTCAATTACTGACACCTTGATATTCATGTATTGTGCATAGGGTTTTTGGTGTGCTTCATGGCTTGTTTCTTATCTGTTAAACACCTTGTCAGAGGAATATCCAAGCCTGTCTATATGTTTATTTTTAAAGCAAATTTTTTACAGCTATTAAGTCATATTACTTGTCAGTTCACTTTCTTTTTTATGGCATTCCACAGATAAATAAATATGCCTTCTCTGGTGGACAAGATACTATAGAGAAACAAAGGAAGTTTGGAGCAAACCTTGAGGTACGAAACTCTGCTGCATGCAAAAGATATAACTGCTGAATTGTTGCTACTCTTCATAGTGAATGTTTCCATAATCAGTTTGTTATGTTCATTATTGCTTTACTGTAATATTTGGATTTGTCAATTTGTTTATTGAAGGAAAGGGCCAAAAGGCAAGCAACTTGTGTCCATTGGTAGAGTGCACAGTTTCTGGAATCGATGAATGTGTGTATAAAAGTAGTGATTTCAATTTCCAAGAAGCACAAGGAAATTTAAAATAGGGTAGGCATTTATCCTGAATTCTCTATGAGGATGCTCAAAAGTGTCAAATGGTTATCTAACCACACCCATCAAATGGTCCGTGGAAGTGCTCTCGTGATTAAAAGACATGCAGTCTTTCAACATATTTCTACCCTGAACTTCTAGCAACTTGGTAGGCTTTTAATGTTTACTAGTATGCAGTCAGTAATCACTTTAGTGCAGTAGGAGGCAAGTAGTATCTTCAACTTCTTTATCCTGGCATAAAACCAGCTAATGTGTAACCCTGCACCCCTGGTCAGATGTTATGTTGGTAAAATAAAATCACAAGCTGCATACCATGAAAAGAAGGAAACTTAGCTGTGAATCTTAATTTTTGTGTAGGTTTCCATACCTATACTCATTTGATCTATTCTCCCACTTGTGCTTGTATGTAGAGTATTCCAGTTGTCATATTTTAGCTAAAGAGTATTGCTGAAGAGAACCTCCAGTGTTCGAGCAACATTCTGAATGTCAGATTCAGGCTGGATTGTACATGTTGCTTGAACATCAGCCCCTTTAGCTTCGCATTTCACTACATAGCTTTGCAGATCAGGCAATGCCTTCCTCAGAGTTCTATTCCTACTCCAATTTTCACATGCTACTTTTAGCTTTGCTCATCTACCATACTTGGTGTCTGTAGAACTTGCTCCCATCCTTTGACCTCTATAGAACCAGTCTATAAATGAGAGAACTATCATTTATTATCATTTATTGGCCGATTCTCCCATGTTGCATACTTTGTACAATTTCATTTCTTGATGCAGCTTTAGGTTAACTTGGTTTTTTTAAAACCCTTTCACTGATTACCTAGTATTATGGACTTTATTCTTGTAGCATTTTAGTGGCCAAAAATGAGTTTTTCCTACATTTTCCTCGTCTCTGAATTTCATAATTGGGCACACGATGTTGTCTCTCTCTCTCTCTTTTTTGACAAGTGAGTTTGACTGGATTTCTGAAGAGATTCTATGCTTCTGTGAATTGGATGAAGCTCAGCCCATCTGGTGTTTTCATTTTATGAAATATACAAAACCCAAGTTGAGAAAGTTCTTGATAAGACAGACTGTGATGATTATATATAGTTTGGATATATGGTGAATAATTCTGTATCCAGTTGTTCTGGAGATTTGTCTTTTATAACTTGTTAGAAAATTTAAGAATGTTTGAGGTTGTATGCCTTCTGTTTACACTAAGGTATTATCAATTAACTGTTGCTTAACAAGCACAAAGGAAAAACATTAAGTTGAATGAACCAGCATTTGTCGGTAAGTGAGGCAAAAGAAATAGAATCAATTGGACCTTTGTACTTTTAAATTTTTGGAGAATAAAATTCAAGACTGCTACAAGTCTGAATGGATTGCCTACTCCAGAAATGAGTTCTAAAATAATGTAGTCTGTAAATAGTTTTTTAAGGACTGGATTGGTGTATTTACTATATGTAGCTCTTTGTTATTTTTCTATAGCAGTAACAGGTGTCCATCTTTTTTTCATGATCGCTTTTTCACTTTCTATAGCGGTTGATCTGGGAATTTATCTAGCACCATCAAGTAGCGCCTCAAAAGCTTAAACATCATAACCCTTATGCAATACAATATATTGTGGTCATGTTGGCAATTAATTTTATGTCTAGCCTCACATAAGAAGCCAATGAAGATTCACTTCCTATCCAGTTTATTCACTACAGTTAAGGGTGACTCTTTTAGGTGTTCTGGTGTCCAAATTATCCTTGTATAATTTATATTTCCTGTTCTGCATTATCATGTCAAAGGGCTTGACTGTGAGTCTCTAGTATTACCTTAATCCATGTTTCTCCTCCTACAGGGTTTGCTTTTATAGCCCTTGAAAGATTGCAAATCCCAATCATGTAGATATCTTGAAAATAAATTGCTCTCAGTCCCTATTTTATCCCTGGTACCCCTTGCCTTGGATATATGAAATTTAGTTGGAATTTCATTCTTAAGCGTATACTAGCCGAGATCCAACCATATGCCTGTTAACAACCTGTTAACTTGGAGACTTCATGCTTAACCTTTCTTATTCCCTTTCGAAGAACAGCCGGGCAAGAGCTTTTGAACCTCTCCAACTCCCAAGCCCTCCACCCCCAAAAGTAGATTAAATTGCCCAACTTTAATTAAACTTGTCTGCTCAAACTCCTTTTCTCATTACTTCCTCTGCTTGAGCTAAACTTCGGATATCTGTAAGACCTAGGTATTGATTCTCAGATGTGCCTAATGCAAAAGATGGGAATTTTGTTCCTGCATCATTGCATCCTACAAAACTTCTTCGTATTTGCTCTAGCATCTCTGCAACTGAGGCTTGCAGAGCAAAAAATGATAAAAAAATTAGGTAAAGGAGTGTGTACTTCTGATCATTCTTCTCCCCACTATATCCAGAACTTAATTTCATATCAAAGGTGGAACTATCTGATCTTGCATTCCTTCATAGAGCTACTAGTTTTTAACCAACTTAGAGTAGCTTTTAGATGATAGAATTTCTTCTCAGAACCACAATAACATTAACTGATCTTTCCCCTGAAAAAGGGCAGAAAGGGCACCCAGTTTAGCTAACCCCCTTGGGTGGTAACCATGAGAGTTTCCTTCCCCGTTACCTTTAAGGTGACTTTGCTTATTAAATAGTTGTCAGGGATTTTCATTAACTGGACTAGCGAGGACTGTAATGGATCACATCCATTAACTGGCTATACTTCTAAGCCTCCAATCGGGCTTCCATTGAGCAGTGTTGAGAACCGTGTTATGCTAGTACAGAACGACAATTAGTTAGAAAATCTGCCAAAGGTTTAAAACTTTCGATATGACTTTTGGGATAATGAAGAACAATCTGGAAATTGCTAATTCCCCTAAATGAACTTTAACAACATTAATGAAAGCTCGGGAAAAAAGATCTGTTAGTGATTATAATTATTGAAAAATAAGGAAAACAGTTAAAATGATAAATTTTACGAATAGAAAATCAAGTTAAACAGCACAACTCATAGTTGTTTGAAACTCTCATTTCTCAAAGTAAATTAGCCAATTAAGGAGTTAAAATCTTTCATTATAATAAGATCCCAATAAATTCACATCTTTGTCATCACCACACTGACATCACCTCTCATTTCGAGGAGCAGAGGAGCTGAAGAGAATCTGAGGTAGTGGGGTTTGTTTTGAGAAGTGGTGCTCCTCTTCATTTATTTAGTCTGTTCTCTTTCTGGGTCTTTTTTTTTTTAAATTCAGTTTATTAAATGGAGTTACATAAATAAAAGAAAGAGAGACTTAAAAAGAAAATAAAATAAAGCTAGGGAACATGCATTTTTGTTTAGGAGTAGTTCCTACAATGGATCTGACTAATGACGTATGCACGTGAAATGTTTGAAAACCCAAAAATGTGGGCCTACACTGTGCACAGCGGTTCAACTGGTCAGCGTGGTTCAGCAGTTTTGACTTAGTTTGACTGTTTTTCTTTTTCTTTATTGTATTTTCTTGCTGTAACATGTATTCACACCGCCTGGTCATCCAGTTCTTGAACTAACCAGTTGGAATGGCCTGCCTATTCTGGTTTTCAAAATACTGGTAACTGTAGTTATCTTCCCAATTTCCAACCTATTAAGAAATCATTGTTATGACATCCATATGCAACTTTTCTTCTTCAGATACATCTTATATGTATGGGTTTTGTTAGTGACTTGTGGGTTATGGTTGTTTTTACAATTGATTAATTTTGTACCTGTATATATGTCCTGATCTCTCTCTCTCTCTCTTTCTCTCTCTCTCTCTCTCTCTCAGGTGGATATACCCATTAAATATCTTGAGTTTTTTCTTGATGATGATGCTGAACTGGAACAGATTAGGAGGGTAAGCAGCCATCTATTACTTTTTTGGTGTTCTTCTGGCCAAAGCTTAATTTTGAAATTGCATTTTCAGAAACCATAGGCGATAGATGTTTAGCTTCACCTTAAAACTTGTGTTTTTTTTTCTCTTCAGGAATATGGAGCTGGGCATTTGCTAACAGGTGAAGTTAAAAAGCGGGTTATTGAAGTTCTAACTGAATTGGTAGAAAGACATCGCCGAGCCCGTGCTGCAGTGACTGATGAGGTAACAGACTACTGCCATTTTTATCTTGAATTCCTCATGTTGGTTCAAGTATTGACAAAATAGTTCTTAAATGACTATAAAAAGTTGAGTTTGAATCCTTTGATTCATAGTATGGACAACAAGAAGATTTTTATTTTTTTTTTTAATTTTGCTTCTGTTGTAAAACCCAAGTGTAGCTAACTGTCTTTCCTCTTTGATAGCTCCTTGGAATGGAGAATATTCAAGAGAAGCTTTCAGAAATTTTTTTTTGAAACTTTTAAGGCAGAGAAGCTTTCATTTGATCTTAGTGGATGTTTATTTCTTTCAACGTGTACCTTTGGCCATCCATAATGTGAAGGAGCTAGGGCCTGAAGTCAGGGGTTGCAATCTTCTACAGTTAAGTAATGGAACATTTGAGCCTTTGAAGAAAATATCTCAGTAGTACCTGTAACCACGTATGCAAAAATGGTTTAGTAATTAGTTATACAATTTGTGAATTAATGTACTATGAGGGAGCAGTTAATCAAATTGGCTAATCCTAATACCTATAATGTACTTAATTTGTCTTAGTATTCAAAGTAATTTCTTGCATTATTCATGTTAGTGTTGCTTGAGCGAAAGTAAATTTGGCATCTTAAGTTTTATAGCAATTAGTTGCATCATGATTACTAGTATTACACAAATTAATTTGTAATCGGTCACCCATTGAATTGTAAACAGTTTAATAAATAAATAAGATACACTATCAAAAATCGTCGAAGTAAAACTTAGTTGCTAATTGACCAAAATAAAATGATGATAAGAGGTAGGAGTAATTCAAATTCAAAAAAAGAAAAAGAAATATCTCAAGTGCATTTTGTTACACAGTATTTGAGCCTTTTCTCTCTGTCCATTTACTCTTCTCGACATAACTAGCTTGTTTCTTTCTTAGAGGCATCAGTTATATTCATCCATGCGTTCCTTAATTATTGCTCCCACTCCATCATGGTGGGTTGATATTTTATGTCTATATTATCTGTTTTTTTAATTGCTATTTTTTCTTGACTTCTTTCTTCTGATACATTGGATTTCAATATATTTAATTCTTACTGGTTGCCCCTCACTTTTTGTTTGAGAGGTTGCAATATATAATTTTTGTGGTTTCGAGGGGGTGCAAACAACTAATCATATCTAATTTAAAGCATAATTAAAATAATTATAGGACACCAAAGGATTAGGATTTTTCCAAAATTTGAAGGGGGGTGGGTCAATTGCCCACCCTCATGATAACATGGCTTTGCTGGCCATCCTGCAAGCTGTCAAACTGCACTAAAATGTGTATACAGCTAACATAAATGCATCTATATATATGCATGTATATATACAACTAACATGTATCCAGTCCTGCAGGCATATTTGTGTGTCTACATGTGCAGCTAGCATGTATACTTGCATAGATTTGTATATATGTGTATATACAGCTAACATGCATACCTCGGCGTGGTGGTTCTGCTCAATTTGATTTCGTCTTTATATGTGTCCTTGCAATAATCATGTCTTGGGCTTCCAAGAGTAAGGAAAATACTATGTAGTGAGTATGTATCATATTACGAACTGGTGCATATTTCTTTTCCCAATAAGATGTTTGTATTATCTAATTTAAAAGTTACACACCATTGCAAGTGCATGTCTTTAGAGTCGGAACCTCTCATTGACGTGAGCTTTTGAACATTGCATTCAAAGCTACTGGCTAGCAAAGATTCAAAGACCAAAGGAAAAGAATTTATGTTACAGCAGTGTGTCTAGAACACACCGTCCAAGAAACTTGTGGAATTTTACACTGAGAAATGTCCTGCTCCTATCCTTCACTTCCTCCATTTTTCCTTTCCGTTCTCCCTTCATTGTATGTGGGAAGGGCTTCGATTAGTATATATTTTCCAGTTGTCTGTAATTTTAGTCAACACTTTTTGCCTTCTATCATCCATTATGCTAGTACTAGAGATAGTTATTTTCCCCCTAAAACGTCAGGTTTTTTAATTGTTAGCTTGTGGAGCATTTCTGAATGCCATCAATGTTGTATATGTTGGGTTTTGTCAAACGATGTGCTTCCACTTGTTTTAAGTTTTTTAAGTTTTTCTTTTATCTAACTCAAGTAATTGGCTGAGATGTTTGTAGTTGTTCTCAGTTATTTCAAATAGTTTACTTTCTTGTCTTTGTCAGATGGTTGATGCATTTATGGCAGTACGACCTCTTCCAAACATGTTCAGCTAAAACTCGCTATCTAGGCCTCAAGGTGTTGGTTCTAGAAGATCATTGAAGTTACTTCGAACTTTTGGATGGATAGAGATTTTCATTATCTACCTTGTGCTTTGTCATTCACACATTATATTTTGTTATGCACATTCTCATCCATGCAACCATCAAACGTGATTATATGTCTACATGCTTGTGGCGGATTAGAAGCCAAGGTTCAAGAAATTGACTGGATTTTTTTAGCAGCTTTTTACCAATTTGAAATTTATTACTCAGATTGGTAATACTTTCTCTTAGTTAAGCGGGCATCTCCTTCCTCTCCTCATTCTGTGCTATTTCTTTCTAATGATTCTTTTGAACACATTTGTATTATTTCTCTTGTAGAAAAGTGCTTTTCATTGCGTATCTGGACGTCATTGTCCTTTATGCTTATTATATTTCTATTTTGAGGAAAGCTTTAGCTTCTATATTTGCAAACAGCTTGCAGACTCGCTTCCTATACTGTTTGCTAATGAACCAGCTTGGGGAATTTTGAGCAAACATCTGTTTTTAAGAGAATTTGTAAGGTGTTGAATATGCTCTAGACATCATGGATTTGGAATATGTTATGGTATGTTAATTTCTACTGATAAGTAGTGAATTTCGAGATCAAGCAAATTATTTAGAAGTAATATTGTGGGGAGGAACATGCCTACTAACGTGAATACTCCTTTTGTGTTTTATCAATCGGAAAAGTTTCGCTCATTTACTGTATATGTGCTACAATCAAAGGTTAAATGACTATGGTAACAGTGGCTGAACTGTTATGGAGCTACTGTTTATCAACTTTGATGAATAGTAATTGTAAGCAAAATATGCATCAACAATTCGATGTTCCTAAAATCAAATGAGTCCATGTATGTATGCTTCAGATCTCCCCATTCGATCATGTTACCCAAACAACTGCTCATCATAGTGAATGAATTGAATGATGATATACAATGTTTCGAACAACTTCGAGAATAGATAAATAACCATGAGTTGCCAGGAATAGCTGAACTTAAAACACATTGACATTGTCTCCTAAGCTATTAAACAATCTTGAATCTTCAAGAGTTTGTCCAATGGCTGCTTTGTAGTGGAGTTTCTCATCAAAGATCTGACTAAATGTGTTTTATGATGCAAATCTAGGTTAGGAGGAATCAGCAAATATCATACCACTATGATAAAAGGACATAACTGTCAAATTTTCACTCTATCCTTGAGGAAATAACTCAAAGCACTACCATTTTTCGAAAAAAAAATTCAAAGCACTATTATCATGATTCATGACTACAGTTTCATCTTCAATTGCTGGAATGAAACGGAGGCTTGCATTTGCCAAATAAATAGAGATAATCATCTAATCCAGTTAATACTGCTTTACAATCATGGGAGAATATAGGACCATGTCATTTCTTATTCTTTTTTTTATTAGGTTTTTTTATTTTATCATTTTTTTATTAGGGTGTTAAGTACCAAATTGCTTGAAAAACTTTTGTTTGACAAGATGTTATGATCTATCGTACTTCTACACTAATCAAAATATAATAAATCATTATATATGTAAAGCACCTATATCTTCCTTATAATTCTCTTTTATTTTGAATAAGTTAATTTATAATTCCTTTATTACTAATTTACTCCCTCACTAGTTGTAAGAAATAATGGAATCGAAAGTTTTACTTTTACTTTTATAGTTAGAGTAAACTAGGATTTTTGTTCATTTTGGTAGTGTGATTTGTTGGTGAGGTGTGTGTGCTAAATTGGGCGGATAAGAACGAGTATTAAGTAAGAGGAAGTGTGTGATTAGAAGTGTTAAAATAAGTTAGTGAATCATAAGTTAAAATAAAAGTACAAGAGAGTTAAGAAAGCAGGCTTGAACTGATGTGTGCCGTTTGTTACCGGTTGAGTACACCATTTGACCAATATTTTTTTACCTTAATCTCCTTGATTTTATTTCATTTAATCCTTCCTAAATTACCCCTTAAGTCAGCCAAAATATTTGACTAGGAAAAGGAAAGAAAAGAAGAAAAAAAAGAAGGAACACTTGGATGCCAAGTGTCAATGATCAAGGGATGTTTGACCAAGACCATTTTCTTTGTTCTTATCTTCTTCTTGGCCAAATTTTCTTCATTTCTTTCTTCATGGTGGCCGAACCTCAAGAGGAGAAAAGAGAGAGAGAGCTTCAGTTTCCATCTTAATTTTTGCCTTGTTTGAGTTGAAATTACAAAAACTAAACCGATTAAATTAGCACCAAGGGAGTTAGGAGGCTTGGAGTGGAGAGTTTTTTGAGAAATAGCTTGGTTCTTCACTTCTCAAGAGGTTTTGACGGTATAAGTTCAACAACTTCCTTTCTCTTTCTTATTCTTGTAAAATATGGTATAGATGACATGAATTTTGGAATATTATGGATGATACTCTAGGTTTGGTGTAGATTAGTGAAATTTCAACTACGGTTTTGCAATTTTCAGCTTTGATTTATGTTGTTTATCCATGATATGTTGGTTTTGAACTTGGTTCTGGACTTGTGAGGTGATTAGTAACCTTATTATGCCTTTTTAGTTTTAAAAGAGGAAATTCCAGCTTTCTTAAGAATTTTCCAACTTTGGTATTGGATGATTATTTGCTCGAAATGAGTTACAATTGGATGGTTTATGACCTAGATTAAGAACTATCTTTATATTATTACTTGTGTGTTGATTTGGGGCTGATTTGAGAAGAAAATAAAACCTTGAAAATGGCTGAAAAATAAGGGAAACACAAAGGAAGTGCTGTTCGTTTTTTTTTTTCTTGAAATTCAATCGAGTGAAAACAGAACTTGAGCGGTGATTCTTGGGTGAATTGAACTAGGATTGCTTAGGGTATTTGAGTTGCCTTTAGTAGGGATGTATAAATTGAAATTCTTGCAAAAACCTAAATGTTTGATAAAGAGAAAGTTGTGACCCGCCTTAAACGCGATTTCCTAATTTCTTATACCAAGTTGTGAATTTAAAAGTTTTAAACGCTTATTTATCGAAACCAAAAGAACGAGCATAAATTTTCTAGGGTTTAAGTAAAATGAGTACTACTTGAACGAGTTTTATTTACTTGAATTTTCTTTAAGCGAAACTGATGTGTGCACGGACCTCAGTCCACGTAATGACCCAGTCCGGGATCCATTGAGCCCAGTTACACGTGCATGGGCCAAGCTCTTCAAAGAATCGCTCCAAGCCCTTGTTTGCATTGTCCAAGACCAACATGGAGTCCATAGAGATATTGAGGTCTTGGAAGGAGACAATCAAATCATCTACACCATGATCAAAGCCCATGAAGAGTCCAGTGGGCCTCCAAGAGAGTTGGCTGAGTAGGGCCTTAGTATTTAATAAAGTTGGATTAGTTATTTCAGTAGAGCATAGGCCAGCCCATCTTGACACCAAGAGGGCCGAATGTTTCCCTAGGGTTCTGAGCCGACATGAGAGGTATCTCCCATCCGAATCGGTGTGATACATACTATCGCTCAGGGAATCGATTACAATTGTTTATGGTACTCAGTTGACAGGAGAGGTACCTCCCACCCAATTCGGTGTGGTACATACTAT